TATAGTTGAATAGACATGATTCTGAAATGACTGGAACTATGATGCATTAATAATTATAAAACAATTTTTTTGAAATCACATAACCCTATAATACATGAATAACTATAAAACATTTTTCTTACAAGAAGCAACTCTATAATCTATTAATAACCATAAATCGATTTTTTTTCAAAAAAATATAACTTTACAATACATTAATAACTATTTTTTAAAAGTTTACGATCTTGAAGTTTAGGATTTAAAATTTTTTTAATGAATAAACTTTTTGAAAATGGACAATTGATGTTGGTATTTTTGAAAATGAACACACAAAATGTCATTTTTGAAATTTATTCTTAGTTATATCATATCGCTTTAAGCCTTCATAAAATTAGGTAAGGCTCTCCCTAGTCATGCGAAAAGATAATTTGGTTGGGATAGTTCGAAATAATCGAATAGTTCTAGTAGCAATAATTATACCAAAAATAACCAAAACAAATTTCGTTACGGTTGGATTCGGATATTTGTTAGTTCGTTATTTTATTTTATAACTAAAATTATCCGAAAGTTTTGAAATTGTATTCAAAATCACGTAAAATCCGATAATTTCGGATAATTTGGGTAGTTTGGTTCATATTTTTTTTTTTTTAAATAAATCGGTTACCCGATAACTGAACCGAACCAATTTTCAATAGCTGCGGATCGGTTAGGCACTTAGGTGGGATTTTTTAATCAACATTAACTGGAAATCGGTGACGTGGTGACCATTAACTCATAAAACGACGAGAGAGTCGTTTAGTCAACGAATGGTCATTGACTGAGAAGCGTCAAAACGGCAAGATGTTTATTACGAAGAAACAAATGGATCCTATTGGTTAACGCACGTCACTACACACAAACAAAACAAATGTCAAAAATAAAAAGTTGCCGCATTGAATGTAACGCATTTTCGTGACTTTTTGCTGCTTAATACTATGAAGCGATCTTCAGACACAACAATGGGTTTCTGAGGAATTTCGGAAGACACAAAAAACGTGTTTTTTTCTCTCTCTCTTAATTGTCACATTAAATTTTTTCTGGGTTTGTATTTCAATTTGTTCATAGTAATAATGGGAAAAGGAGCAATCAAAGAAGAAGAGAGCGAAAGGAAGAGAAAAACATGGCGATTGCCTTTGTTGGGTTTGATTGTCGTTTTATTAGCAGTTGCTGTGAGCTCTAGGACCGCTTCTAATGTCGGTTTCTTCTTCACCGATCGAAATTCTTGCTCTTGTTCACTTCAGGTTTTTTCTTATCACCACTCTCTCCATCTTTTGCTTGAAAATTTGATCAAGGAATTTGACTTTTAAGGGTCTCAAGTACATTCGTTTTTGGATTGGTATTGAGGGATTGTTGAAGAATTGTGGATGTTTTCATTTGTTAATGGTCAAAAAAGGTTTGGTTTTTGTTTGATTTGTCATGTGATGGATTCAGGGTAATAAAAATTGAACCTTTTGATGTGCCAATGTCTTTTTAAATGCAAGATGTGTGATTATCAATGATCAATATTTGTTTTTTGTCTTTTTGATTGTACATTTGGATAATATACAGGGAACTGGTAAATATAAAGGTATAGTTGAGGACTGTTGTTGTGATTACGAAACAGTGGACAATCTCAATACTGAGGTTTTGAATCCTTTGCTTCAAGATCTCGTTACAACACCATTTTTCCGGTACTATAAGGTCAGTGATGATGATGATGCTGCTTTAGAATTCGATTACGAAATTGTGTTTAGGTGGTGTAGTTAGTGACTTTTCTCTGATTGTTTTTTTTTGTATATGTGGAGTAGGTTAAACTTTGGTGTGATTGTCCATTCTGGCCAGACGATGGAATGTGTCGTTTACGCGATTGCAGTGTATGTGAATGTCCAGAGAATGAATTCCCAGAGCCGTTTAAAAGGCCGTATAATAATATTGCCGGTCTTCCTTCTGATAATTTGATTTGTCAAGAAGGAAAACCGCAGGCAGCTGTTGATCGTACTATAGATAACCGAGCATTTAGAGGTTGGGTCGAGACCAATAACCCATGGTCGCATGACGATGACACAGATAGCGGTATGTAGTTACCAAATAAGATATAGTGAATGCATTGATGCTCTGATAACTTTGGTTCTATAGTATGTCTATGGACTGATGATTTGAATTGACTTATGTCCAGATGAGATGACTTATGTTAATCTTCAACTAAATCCTGAGAAGTATACTGGTTATACTGGAACTTCTGCTAGAAGGATTTGGGACTCCATTTATTCGGAAAACTGTCCAAAATGTGAGTTTTTTCCTTACCCACCATGTTTGGTATTGTGGGAAAAAGGCTTGTGATGTGATGTGTAAATGGTTTTTTGCAGATTCATCTGGTGAGACATGTCCAGAGAAAAAGGTTTTGTACAAATTGATATCCGGTCTTCATTCTTCAATCTCGATGCACATAGCTGGTGATTATCTTCTTGATGAGTCAAGCAACCAGGTTTGTGTTTTCAGAGCAAAAGGCTCTCAACATGAATATATTATGGTCATGGCTGACATGTTTTCATTGAAATACAGTGGGGACAGAATATCGAGCTGATGTATGATCGTATTCTGAGACATCCGGATCGTGTCAGAAATATGTACTTCACGTATCTCTTCGTGCTACGTGCTGTGACTAAAGTGAGTAACTTCTCTGCAAGTCGGTCTTTTGGAATTTTGACATGTCATTCTGAAAAATCTATGTCTTAAGCACTGATTCTTACAACGTTTCATTCAGGCAACAGCATACTTGGAGCAGGCAGAGTATGACACCGGAAACCATGCTGAAGATCTGAAAACACAGTCCTTGATTAAACAGTTGTTGTATAGTCCGAAACTCCAAACAGCATGTCCTGTTCCTTTTGATGAAGCTAAGCTGTGGCAAGGTCAAAGTGGACCAGAATTGAAACAGCAGATCCAGAAACAATTCAGAAATATAAGGTTCGTCTTATTATAATGATATATTCATGGCACAAAATATGTTCATTTGGCAAATGCAGAGAGCGTGATAAGCATGTATGTGTTGCAGTGCGCTGATGGATTGCGTAGGTTGTGAAAAGTGTCGGCTTTGGGGGAAACTTCAGGTTCAGGGTCTCGGTACAGCATTGAAAATTCTCTTCTCTGTCGGAAATCAAGACAAGGGTGACCAAACAGTGAGTTTCTTAACATGTACATGCATCATATTTATATATAGACATCGGTGATCTGAAAATATTCCTGATCTTTTTCAGCTGCAACTGCAACGAAATGAGGTGATTGCACTGGTGAATCTGCTCAACCGTCTCTCTGAGTCGGTTAAAATGGTCCGCGATATGGGACCCGATGTTGAGAGACTAATGGAGGATCAGATAAATAAGGTATCAGCTAAACCTGGCAGATTAAGAAGAATTTTGGATTTAGCTGTCCCCTTCTGGTGAATATCATCATTTCCTTCTCGGTAACACAACGAGTTGTCCAGCGTTTAGGCTTCAGGTTCAATCAATGCAGGCCTAGGATGGATAGTCATCGTTGTAACAAATGAAAGGAAAAAAATCATTATACAAACTCAATACAAAAGATTTTGGTAAAACAGATAAAAAAAAATAGAGATTTCTTGAGGTAACAAATTTATACAGATACAGAAACATGTCGGAACAGAGCTTCTTAGTCGACTTTCACATTAGTTTTTAATGCTCTGTTTCTTCTCGCCTAATCTGGCTTCAAGGCAATTATAATAGTCTCTTCTCCTTTTGAGAAGATGACCAAAAAACACATAGATTTTAAGAAAAGCATCTCCAATGTTTAGAATCAGAAAGAGTGAAGAAACTCACAAAAGCTGAATTTATTTATACAGTAGGGGTCAATCAAATCCGCACACGCACACAAACGGAAGGATGATAAAATATCAATCATCCTACAGGAAATCTATAATTGAATGAGAAGTTAAGTCATCAGATCAGAGAAAGATCAAATAGTTTTCAGACCCATCTCTCTTTCTCTTTCTGTGTTTGTTTCAGTGGTGTCTCTTTTAGACCAGCTTTACGAGCATTAGTTAACAGAACTCTGTGAGCTAACCTTCCTCTGCTTCCTATAGACAACCTAACTTTCTCCGTTCCGACATTAATGCCTACTCTTCGCAATGGTTGCTGTCTCGGGGAAGATTTCGTTTGCATTCTCTTGTGTATGCTTCGTCTTAGTATGCTGCTCAAAGTCTTCGCGTTACTTCTATGCAACTTAGGGCTGATGCAGAGGACTTGGTTAGTGCCGCTCTTTTTGTCTGGCGAGTTTGTAATAGCTTGGCGTGGTGGCCTTAATGGCGAAGTTGATGTGATTGGGAGGAATGGCATTGGAGCAAGAGAACTCCTTCTTGGAACTGGAGCTGGTTGAATACGTTTTGCGCAGATAGAGAATCTTCCTGTTCTCTTGGGTATTTGCAATCGGTCAGCCATTTCTGGATTATTTTCTTTCTCAATGAGGTTATTGTACTTGACGCCACCGTTTGGTAAAGGAGGTAGATCATAGCTCGTGGTGATGCTCTCCGAGAGCGATGGTCGAGTTAGATTCACCGTTTCTTTCGAAGTTGATGTTTCATTTGAGGTCTTGTTGCTTCCCAAAAGTATGTTTGCTAGTGGTGGCCTCTTTGAAGTGTTGTTTTCATCTTCGTTCTGCTGTTTCGTCTGCTGCTCAGCGATCTTGGTGTCTACATGTTGACGAGCCAGCTTTCTCTCTACCAGCAGTTGCGATTCAAGTTCTTTAATCTAACAAAGAAGGTGAAATTATGACGGTTTTAGCAAGCTTAAAATGTTAGAAGCCATGTTGTTTTTGTGGTGAGTATTATTTACCTTGTCTTGAAGGGTTTTGTTCTTAGTGTCTCGTTCCTTAATCTTTGCTTCTAAACCGAACATCGTTTCCTCCATTTTCTTCATCTGTTCGTCTTTTCCTTTCATATCTTGCTTCCATTTTTCAACCTAATGTAGAATTAACATAGCTCAGAGGCCATACTCGAATGATTCGATAAATACAAATGTCAACTTGAGTCTAGCTTATTACCATTTGCTTGTATTTCAAGAGTTCAGTATTGTCTAGCTGCTTCTTTGCAGGCCCCAACTCTATCCCTTTCACTCTGCTAGCAAAATTCAGTGAGCATAGCGTTTCGCTGAGGTCATTCTCGTTAGGACTGATTTGTACGAACATGAGGGTCTTCGAGTCTCCTCCTGTCAAATACCAGTTATATTTACAGAGTTTCATCATTAGGTCCATAACAAACAAAACGATTTAGTGAGAGTCAAGTACCTAGAGAATCCTGAAGCAAATGTGTGAGCTTTGAATTTCTGCAAAGGTAATGCAAACCAGACGTCAAGTTGGATGAAAAACAGTGACTGTAGTAATGAGAAAAGATGTATCATTTCTACCTGAAAGGAATGTGAGAGCTTTTGTTGGCAAGAGCGAATATGACATCACCAAGAGCAGATAATGATTTATTGATGTTTTGGGTCTCCTTGAGCCGTTCTCCTTGAACTTCAGTCTTTGCAACCCGTTCGCTTCCTGCTAAATCAACTAACCATAGTTTGCTCTTTGTACATTCCCCATTCAACAAATTCTCTCCTTTCACCATCACGCAGTGAATACTGTGCAAGGAAAAGAAAAGAAAATACATTTAGATAGCTGATCACCAGAAAGATTTTTTGAAAAAGTAGACTTTTACTATAGCTCAGGTAATCAGACCAGTGAGATCGGCTGCTGTGCTCATTAGCCGACGTTTTCCCAACAGCCCTTGCATTACTTCCTGTTTTCAACACATCCCAAACCTCTTCTATGGTTTTCACGCGTGCTTCAACCAATCCTGGTACATGGTGGCTCCCTTCACCCACTTGCCTTATCTCAAATCTGCAAAGAACAGTGACATGGTTTTTAGTTTACTTATAGTCCTTGCTGAAACACCAACATAGAACAAACCATACAAATATTATAAGTTACCTTTTCGGCGCAGTTGCATTTTGTGAAGCTGGGACCAACAAATCTCTTATTTGCTCATTGTAAACTTCCAAAACACTGACCGAGATCTCATAATTGTAGCGGTTTTCTCGTTCTTTAATTATTTGAAACAGATTTTTCAGTGTTCTATAGTTTACTCCACGATCATCTTGAGTTCCCTCCATGGTAAAAGTTTTACCAGTTCCAGTCTGACCGTAGGCGAAGATGCAAACGTTGTATCCATCAATGACTGACGTAGCAAAAGGAGCAGTATCTTCGAAAACATCAGCTATAGAAGAAAGACAAAAAACAGGAAATATGTCATTTGTGAGATGCGAATTCCTGCAAGGCAAGTATAAGCGTGATTGATGAATGCCAAAGATCACCTTGGGAAGCGTTAGGACCAAAAACAGAATCGAACTTGAAGCTTTTTTTGGGAAACCCATTTGACATGACTATGACCTCCCCACTTTTGGTTGACTCAACATCAATTCCCATGGATAATCCTGCTTCAATTTCTTCAAAGTTTAGGGGCCTACACCTGCAAAAGACCCTGATGTTTCCTGGAGGAAAGAATAATCACAGTAAGTTGTAAGACTACCAATTCGTCAAGGAAGTCCGTCGAGATGTTAAATATTGAATTTAAACACAAACCTTTTAGCTCTAGTATCTTGTTGTACAGTTCCTTCCTTTCTTTTTCTCCCGCTACAAATTTGACTTTGAGATTTTCATGCATTTCTGCGTCCTGCTTTACTGTTGAATAAAGATGTCAACGGATCAAAATTCACAGACACACAATTTTACAAAATCTTTCTAGTGCTTGGCATGTCCAAAAAAATAAGACAAAGACTCACTTCTGGACTGAATGTAAGAGCTGAACTCGTTGATATCTTGGACCAGCAATTTGTATGTGGATGCCTCCTCCAACAGCTTAATTTGCTCCATTTTCATGATCTGTGAATCCAAATTCGTTAAAATGAGGGATAATTAAATAGTTTGCTGTTGCTGATAGTATCTTATACGTTTGCTCCCGCGTACCTTCAGTTTTCTTGTCAAATCTCTTAATGAAGAGAACCATCTGCTCTTCTCTTTGACTTGTCCCTCGACAGCAAAGGCTAGACATAAACAAGTACCAAAATATCAACTTTCACTCTTGCAAGGAAGGTGAAACTGAACAGAGAGGGATGTACATACCCAAAGAACCAACATGCATCGACTTGCGCATTAACTCATTTTGAAGCTCATGGAGAGAATTCAATGCTTCTTCACATTCTCTACTCTTTCTTTGATTCTCTTTTTTAAGTTCTTCAACCATTCTCTTCATGTCCGCCATCTCTTTCTGCTGCTGCTCACTGTCATTCCTCATTTCTTGGGTCTCGTCTTCTATCCTGCAGTCAACAATTTCCTAGAGAACAGTATGACAATTTAACTATCTGCAACTTATGTACACTCAAACTAAACTAGAAACATCCAGCTTGTGAAAGATCTCTCACTTGAGGTGGCTGGGAGAGAACAGTGTCAGTTTTCCCTCTGACTGCTAGCATTCCAGTATCTTCGGCATCTGAATGAAAAGAACATGTCATAGGAATTGCGGAAAAGTCCAGGAAATTGAAGTTTGATTAACCAAGTAGATAGTTCTCTGATTTCCAAGCACCATATGAATCCACATATTCCACAGAAAATAAATAAAGAGGTTAGAAATTAACATACAAGTAGCCGTTGCCTCTTTCCTAATAGAAATGCCGCATAGAATTGCAGTTCCTGTCACTCCTTCTAATCGTATAGATAACTCTCCTTCCTGACCAACGAGCATCCTTAGATCAGCTATCACAAGTGGTGTATTTGCACCTACTTGCGAAAACAAATCTAGACCGGATATGACCTGCAATAGTTTTTCAAATGAATCATAAATGATAACTATGCGATAAATAAGAGCAAAATAAAATCTCAATGCAGTGATGCCTCCTTACCTTTGCTCCTTGAATGAATATATCGAAAACTCTAACTCCCGGTGGACCTTTAGTGAACTCGATTTCAGCAAAATGCAGGTCAATGAAGTAATCCCCTGGCTCCAATGACTGAAACTTGTAAGCGAAATTACCAAGTCGAGCTGTTTGATACAACAGAATCTCGTCTTCATTGCCAACAGCAGCATCAGTCGAAATAGTTTCACCGCCACTGAAACAATCATCCTTCAAGAAAGTTACATCAGCCACAGTCACATCCGTGCTTGTAGAACCCGAGTTAATACTAATTACAGGAGTTGTACACTCCCGAAAGTTTCGAGGTGGAGAAGGTAACTCAAATGAAGACTCAGGAGACAACTCGAATCCGAACGTTTGACAGATCGCTGAGAACTTCACAGCTGGAGTCTTACGCCCATCTCTAGTAACAGGACCATCGATTCCATTCTCTAGAGAAAGCTCAGTGGAAAATCTGCTTTTCTGAGCAAATTCTGGCGAATCTCCATAGCTACCTCTCGGAATATCAGGTGAAACGCCACAATTTACTAGATCAGGTGATGTTAGAGAAAACCCTAACACGAGTTTACCTGAAACGGAAAATCGAGCCGATTCGACGCAATTAATCTCTAGATGAAGCGATTCATTTCACATAAATGAAAACAAAGTAAGGTTCCGTACCATCTAACGCTTCTTCATCAACTTGATCTCTAGATTGTTTCAATTTCATCAATTCGGGGCTTGATTGTTCCATATGAACATCTAATCAGTAAATTA